TCATATACACATCTTATGAAAATTTCACATCTTATTTCCCCACAAGATCCTCTTTTCACAAATCTCGAATATCTTACTTTGCCTACCAGGGTTTAACTTTCTCTTCAACACGCTTCTCCCTCTCCCTTCCACTTGAAAAGTTTGGCTTTGCCCCAGAAGACTGTTGGCATTTACCCTCAAATTCTGGAAGGTAACTATGTCATACCTGATAGGAATTTGTTTTGGGTAAAACTGGCCACATGTAAATATTACAATGGGAACTGGTCATATCAACACGACCAGCTATGTGATTCAGTGTGAGAGCTTTGGATTATGTGGTATTAGACAATTGGAAACTAGAGATCAACTATGTAATCAGTCAGTCAATCAACCATAACTTAACAACGGTGCCCCAGGAAAAACGTTGAACACTGAAGCTCACGTGAGCATCTCTTATTGGTGATATTCCATGTGTACTGTCACATACTGCTGAAGGGGAGAGTGTCCTGACTCCATAGGGGAAAGGACAAGAGAGACTTTGCATTTGGGATGCTAACCTAGACTCTGTCTTCTGTGTCTCATATTTTGGCTGATTTTAATTTGTATCATTTTCCTGTAATAACTATACCCATGAGTGTAACAGATTTCAGTGAACTGTATTAATTTTTCTGGTGAATTACTGAAGCTGAGAGTAGTCCTGAGAATCCCTTGTACCTGTAGTTGGTGTAAGAAGTGAGGATGGTTTTGAAAATGATGACTTCTAGCTTTGAAGATAGGCCAATTCCAGGCACTGCTTTGGATCTGCAATCAGTTATTACACTAAGGAACAACTTCCAGTGAGAAACAATATTTATATAACACAATCTGGGCAATGGAGTGCTCACTACAACTAGGTGGGTAGTCGTTGTTTCTAGTTATCCATGAGCAGAGCTTAAAATTTCTCTCTCTCTCTTTTAAGAGGAAATCTAGCACAACTTCACATTGATATTTCCAATTAAAATGTAAGATTGAGATAGTCTGCATCTTTGATTTTACATTTGTAGCTCTTTTACACCAAAAACATTGCTATTCATATATTGAGTATAAACATTTACTTATTTTTTCTATCCCACTATAAAATATTTTCAGAATAGCAACTCCAAAAATATTAACAATATAGTGACTGAAAACAATTTTGTAGTTTTCTTTTCTTTTGGAAATATAGTCAAATTTCAGATCACTTAAAATAGTTCCTTTCTATGTGTCCAGGTCCATCCACACAATGGTTTACTTAGGTTCATTTGTTTAATTTTGCCTAATTTTTAGGGATCACTTCTTCCCTTTATATTGATTTAATTTTGCTCTATATTTTATATAAATCATGTGCATTGTTTTGAAAGTCAAATCTATAAGACGAGAGGTTCAGAAGTCTAATTTCCACTTATATCCCAGTTTTATATTTTACTTTTTAAAAATATCCCACAGTATTCTACTATAGTAAATTTCTTAGATAAAAGATCTAAAGTCAGCCCATTTACTGAATGCAAATGTTATTGCTAAGGTAATGCCTAAAAGAGTTGAATTAAATCTTTAGGTTAAATTCTCCCCTCGTTTACATTACAATATTATTATTATTATTTGGAGAGAGATTTTTGCTATAGGAAAAATGTACTTACTAGAAAGAGAAAATGAGAAATCATCCCCCAGGATGGCCACATGGTAATCCTGTCTCTGTTCTCCTCTTGGGATTTTGGGCACGTATGTACACACATCCTGTCTGAGTTTCAAGCCTCCAGATCTAGGACGCAGACTGTGGTCAGTCTGTGGGAGTCTAGCACCTTAACCACTACACCATCTGCTGTCCCCATATATTATTTATTTATTTTTCTTTTGGATAGGCTTTTGCTAGGGCGTGTGCACTCGCCAGAAAGACAGAGAGAGACAGAGAGACAGAAAGCGAGAAATCACCCCCAGGGGGTATAGCCATGCTGCAATCCCTTCTATTCCATTCTTCTCTTGGGATCTTGGGCACGCACACACACACGCACCCACGGCCAACTACGTGGGAGTCCAGCGACAGCCATTACGCTAACTGCTGGTCCCCCCCCATATATTATATTTTAACAAGCTCTATTTTGTATAGAAACAGCAGAGGTAAACTTTAGTTCTACATGGCTGAATTGTTTTATAATCAAAATACTTAGTTAAAATTAACTTTTCATTTTTAAATTAAAAAAAATTAATCTTTAAAATTTTTAAGTAAATTTTAATTTATTAAGGACTGTTGCTAAAACAAATTATTAAATGATGAACACTGATATAGTATCATCTCACATAGGTACCTCTGGGCATCATAATATCTACATACTTTTTGGGAACATGTGAACCAAAAGGATAACAGAACCATAACATACATGCTCCATACACACCTGCTGCTTACTTCTCTGCATTAAGAGCTCCCCAGCATTTGACCCTTAGCAGTATTCTGACTCCAGAGTTGCCTCTGAGTAATTTCCTCTACAACCATGGTTTTCTATTCTCTCTATAAGCTAAATAATTTTTTTAATTAAAGAATTATTTGATTTGATTTGATTTATTCACTCATTTATTTTAATTTGACCAGATACACACACTCATACACACACACACACACACACACACACAAACAGAGAGACAGAGAGAGAGAGAGAGAGGGGCAAAGTGAGAAAGCAAGGCACCAGGTCTAAGACTTGAACCATGGTCAGCCATGTGGGAGTGTCCAGCCCTTTAACCACCATGCTGCTGGTCCCCAAGCTAAAGAGTTTTACACACATACACACATATATTTCCAGACAAGACTTTCCTTTTAATATTTTTTTAAGTTTTAAAAAGTTCATTAAAAACCTTACCAGCCCATAGGTCCCATGGTTTCTGCTCTAGTTTTCCCACGTTTCGCCTCCTTAAGCAGTTCTTCTATTGCCTTCCTGATGAGTAAAAGAAATAAATTTGAGAAATTAGAAAAATCAATTTATTACATGTATATATATTCCAGAGAAAGGAACTAACTTTTGAAGCATGATCACTGGGGCAATAGTTTTTTTAAATGGTTGCCAACTTTGAACATAAAAACTGAAAAGGAGCTTTTTATATGAAGGGAAAAACACTGAAAAGAAATAAAAAACTGACAAACTGGAAAAAATGTAACATAAGACAGTTAAAACATATGAGGAATCTTCAAAAATTTCATTAAAAAGTGTATTATGCAAAAACTATGTATGGATTGCAAAACTTTTTTTGTAGGAAAATAAGTTTTGCAGCAAAATAAACTCATTATTAACTGGTTACATGTCTCAACAGGATCTAGTTTGAGGCGCTAAGAATGATAAGATATCAGTTTGAAAAGAGTCCCTATAAGAGTAACATGAATTCTGCTAAAACTGAAGCAAGAACAACCAACAAATGATGAAAAAGTGTAGAGGGAAACATGGGGAAATCATTGATGCTTTATAAAAATGTTATGGAGACAATGACCACTAGAAATCAAGTTCACACATGGATGATTTGTTTTTACAAAAGGATGACATAATGTTGAAAATGACACCTGCAGCAGCAGATAATCTACATCTATTCATGAGGAAAATTTAACCTTGTTCATGTCCCACTGAAAGAGGACCAATAATTAACAGTGGAAACAACAGCCAATAACAGACATCACAACAGGTTCGACAATTCTGACTGAAAAACTAGAGTTAAGTAATCTTCTGATTGACCGGTGCCAAAACTGTTGCACCCACATCAGCTGCAGACAAGAGCACTCAATGGAAACAAGGGAGAGCAAGTTCCTGAAGCATTTCTTCTAAAAGCTCTGACAGGACATACACATGGCTTTATCAGTACAATCCTGAAGTCAAAGTATAATCAAAGAAATGGCTACCAAGAAATGAAAGTGGTCCAGTCAAAGCAAAAGCGGACTGGTCAACCAACAGTAAAGGTCATGGCAACCATTTTTGGGACACTGAAAACACTTAGCTTTATTGACTTTCTGGAGGGCCAAAACACAGTAATATCTGATTACTGTAAGAGTATTTTGAGTAAGTTAACCAAAGCTTTATCAGAAAAATTCTGGGGGAACCAGCAGTTAGCGTAATGGCTATGTTGCTGGACTCCTACATGGTTGACCACGGTTCACGTCCCAGATCCAGTGGCTTAAAACTCACACCGGGTGCGTGTGTGCGCGTGCCCAAAATCCCGAGAGGAGAATGGAGGAGAAGGGACTGCGGCGTGACCATCCCCTCTGGGGGGTGATTTCTCGCTTTTTGTCTCTATGTCTCTGTCTGTCTGGCAAGTGCACACGCCCTATAGCGAAAACCTCTTCAAAAATAAATAAATTAATTAAATTAAAAAAAAGAAAAAAGAAAAATTCTGAGAAAGCTTCACCAGAGAGTCCTTCTCTACTTTTTTTTTTCTACTCATTCCTTTTATCAAACAAGGACAGTTTTGAGTCTTTGGGATGTTGAACAATTTTTCTTATGTCTTGGTGGTTCCTCTGTCTTCCTTAGAGAGTTGTCTGTTCAGTTCATTTGCCCATCTTTTAATTGGGTTATTATTATTATTTTTCACGCTAACTACTTTAGTTCCCTGTATATTCTGGTTATCAGACCCTTATCTGAGGCAGAGTTTGCAAATATATTTTCCCATTCTGAGGATTGCCTCTTCACTCTTAATTACTATTTCTTTTGCTGCACAGAAGCTTTTTAACTAGATGTAATTCCACTTGTCTATTTTTGGGATTATTGACTATTTAAGAAGTCTTTGCTTACTCCAATGTCTCCAAGAGATTCCCTGTGTTTTCCACCAGTAGTTTCATAGTTCAAGATCTTAGGTTTAGATTTCTGATCCATTCTGAGTTGATTTGTGTTAGTGATGAGAGACAAGGGCCCAGTTTCATTTTTCTGCAGGTGGATACCATTTTTCCAGAAAGCACCATTTGCTGAAGAGATTTTCTTTTTCCTACTGTCAAAAACCAGTTGGCTATATGTTTAGGGGTTTATTTCTGGGGTTTCTATTCTGTTCCATTGGTCTACATGCCTGTTTTTGTGCCAGTACCATGCTGTTTTGATTGTCATAGTTTTGTAATATATTACAGGGTCAGGGAGTGAAATGCCTCCTACTTCACTCTTCTTGTGCAGTACTGCTTTGGCAATACAGGATCTCTTATGATTCCAGACAGATTCTATGATTGTTTTTTCTAAATCCATGAAGAATGTCTCTGGTAATTTGATTGGAATTGCTTTAAATTTATAGATTAATTTGGGAAGAAACGACATCTTGATCATGTTAATTCTTTCAATCCAGAAACACGGGATGTCTATCCACTTTCTTCTATCATTTTTAATTAAAATTAAAAAAAAATAGTTTCCTTATATATAAAATCATGTCATTTGCAAACAGAAATAATTTCACTTCTTCTTACATTATTTGAATGTCTTTTATTTTACTCTCTTTTCTGATTGCATTGGCTTGGACTTCCAGAATTATATTGAAAAGGAGTGGAGAAAGTGGGCAGCCTTGTCTTGTTCTAGTTTTTTAGGATGCTAGCCAGGGATTTTTCAAAAATGGCTTTTATTGTATTGAGAAAAGTTACTTCTGTGCTGATTTTGCTGACCCATCTTAATCATGAAGGGACACTATATTTTATCAAATGCTTTTTTGGCATTGATATGATTGTATGGTCTTTTATCTTTCTTTTAATATGATGTATTACATTTATGATTTTGTGTATGTGAATCACCCTTGCATTCCTGGAATAAAGTCAACCTGGGCCATGGTATATAATTTTTGTAATGTTTTATTAGATATGATTTGCTAGTATCTTGATGGGAATTTTTGCATTTGAATTCATTAGGGATACTGATCTATACTCTTCTTTTTTGTGTGATGTTCTTGTCTGCTTTTGGAATGAGGGTGAGACAGGCTTCATAGACTAAATCTAGGAGAGTTCTTTCCTTTGGGATCATTAAAAACAGTTTGAGTAGAATGAGCGTTAGTTCTTCTTTAAAGGTGTTGCAGAATTCAGAAGTGAAGCCACCAGGACTTGGGCTTTTACTTATTGGGAGATGATTTATTATCACCTCAATCTCACTGCATGTTACTGGTATACTCAGGCTTTATACATCTTCCTGATTCAATCTTGGTAGATTGTACGAATCCAGAAATTTGTCCATTTCATCCAGGTTGGCTTGTTTGTTGGTGTATAGTCACTCGTAGTATTCTCTGGTGATCTTTTGTATTTCTGTTACATCTGTTGTAATACTGTCTATATCACTGCTGATTAGATTCATCTGGTTCCTTTCTCTGTTCTTTTTTTATTAGTTTAGTTAATAGTGTGTAAATTTTATCTTCTCCAAGGACCAGCTTTTGGTTTCATTTATTTTCTGTATAGTTTGATTCTCTATTTCATTTATTTCTGCTAGAACCTTTATTCTTTTCTCCTGGCATTTTTTAGGGCTTTGTTGTTGTTTTGCCAGTTCCCTGAGGTGTGTTGTTAGGTTGTCTATTTGTCACCTTCCCATTTTTTCTTGAGCACTAATTGCTATGAACTTCTCTTATTACTGTTTCTGCTATATCTGATAGGTCATGGAAATCCATAAGTACATTATCATGGGTTTCAATGAATCTTTTGATTTTAGTCGTAATTTCTTCAGTGGTTGTAAAATCATTCAGGAGTAGGTTGTTCAGTTTCTATGTTTTTGTGTATTTTTTAGTTAGTTTTTTTTTCCCCACTGCAGTTAATTTCAATTTTAATTCCATTGCAGTCAGGGAAGATCCTAGGTATAGTTTCTAACCACTTGAATTTGTAAAGGCTGCTTTGTGCCCTATCATGTGGCCATCTTTGAAAATGTTCCATGCAGGGGTGAGAAAAATGTGTATTTTATGATCATTGTGTGGAAAGTTCTATAGATGTCTATCAAGTCCATTTGATTTATGGTATTGTTTAGATCCTTTATCTCTTTACCTATCTTGCGTCGAGATGATCTATCCAGAGGAGAGATTGTTGAGGTCTCCAATGATTGCTGCATTTTAGTCTAGTTCCCATTTTAGATCAAGCAGTCTATCTGACATGTATTTGGGTGCTCCAGTGTTGGGTGTGTAGATATTTCTAAATGCTATATCCTCTTGGTGCATTAGTCCTTTTAGTACTATGTAGTGTCCTTCTTTGTCTCTGCTTACAGTTTTTGTCTTAAGGTCTATTTTGTCTGATATCATATCATGACTTGAGCCTTTTTGATTTCCATTCATTTGGAATATCTTTTTCCAGTCTTCACTTTGTCTGTATTTCTTTATCTGTGAGGTGTGTTTCTTGTAGGCAGCATATAGAGGGCTATTTTTCTTTTAATCCATTCAGCCAATCTGTGTCTTTTGGTTGGAGAATTTTTTTCTTCCTTTTTTTGAGAAGTTTTTGCTATAGGGCACATGTGCTCATCAGAAACGCAACTGGCTTAACAACAATTGTTGGTGTAGGGTTTGAAGCTTACAGAGTATTACCCTAACATATCCTAACATAGTTATTACCACCAATTTACAGGTGAGGAAAGTAATATCCAGAGACATTGACTAACTTGCCCAAAGTAATACTACTAATCAGAGAGAAGGAGGGGAAGAGGAGGATGAGGGTGAAGAAGAGGAAAAGGAGAAAGGGAAGGAGGAGCAAAAAAGAGCAAACAAAACCTGACCCATGTTTTTAAGGCTATATATCCTCTCATGTTTCCATTATATTGTTTCTTCCACAAAATTTTGCACAGCAAATCCTAAGGAAATAGTTTTTTTATCACTAAAAAACAAATAATAATAAAAGTAAAGGGAAAAAATAGGCCTAACAGAGTTGCCAATGCCTCTACAAACATTCGAAAACTAGGAGACAGGCTGATGCTGGAGAGGTAGAGGGAATGAAGGAGGGATTCTCACAATATTTTGTCCTAAGACT